TGTGGGTGGGTGGCTAGTTAGGGGTAGAGCGGTAGAAAAGTAAAGAATGGTCGCCGATACTAGTGACAGATGGGGGTCACAGTGTGGGTGAGTGATCAGGTCAGGGTCGAGGGGAGGGTATCAGGGGGTGACCACACCTAGACGTGGTAGTACAATAAAGGTAGATGAGTAGTATTGGGGTTGGGGATAGGAAGGAAGCATGACTAAGGTAACGGGAAAGGAAACATAGAAGAATAGATTTGTAATTGGGTTTCCATACTATATTTGAAATTTAAATTTACTATACTGAGTTATATGTACTCATTCTCTATTACTTACAGATTAAGTAGAACTGGAGACGGGATTAGAGTTGCAGGTTTCTGAACCTTGCATATAGAGGAGATGGAGCAGGGTTTAATACTGGTAGGACGGGATAATTATGTATTTGGTAGGAGTGTAAACCATATGTAAAAATAAGGGTTATGTAATTCGTAAGCTACTATGTTGATGTGTTTGCAGTTGAGAGTTTCTATAAAAACGGAGTAATTGGTTGCAATACTTTTTTTTAGATGTGTAATTAATTTAAAATGAGATATAAGTATTATGTATACTAATCTATTTAAGACAACTCTGTCGAAAAAAAAAAAGAACAGGGCGTTAAGAAGACTTCAAAACTTTTAGAAGTGAATAAGAACACAGGAGGCATGAAAGGTAAAAACAAGAGAGTTTTTTGTCTCATACACTGCGACCAAAGTGCCAGGCACGTTCTCCCCCCTAATTTTAAGTAATTTAATCAATAAATATAAAATAAAATAAAATCAAGAAGAAAATTACAAAAAATTAAGTAATAATTTTAATTTTTAATTTTTTTAAAATAATATGCTGAGAATTTATTTGAATGGAATTGATTACGTAAAATTAAAATAATAAATTTGAAATTCTGTAAGCTGACATTAGATTAAATATTTCATTAATAATGGAAAACGATATACTCATATATATATATATATATATAAAATGTATGTCGACTGGTTTAGAAAGGAGGAAAAGAAAAGAAAAGAGGATATAGATAATAGAGAGTTGGATCCAGCGAGGCATATATGTTTGGACCCATTAAAAGTGTACAGTAATTAAGTATTGATAATTAGGAAATATATTATTCATATACTTAATACTTAATTGTAATAATTAATAATAATAATCATCATAATCAGAAGAAAATGGAAATAAATTTCTTGGAAATCTCCTGTTCCTGTTGTTTTGTGAATTTTCTTCTTCCTTTTTTCTCTTCATTTTCCATTATTTTTGATTCTCCATAAATCTTCTTCGTTATTTATTTATTTGAAATTTCTTCCTCCGTTTTCTCTCACTCTCTCTTCTTTTCTTTTCTCCATTTTCAATGGCAGCAAACGGCAATAATATTTCTTGTTGAGGGTATCTTTGTTGGGGGGAATCTGAGGGAGAGAAAACAGACTTGGGGGACTGTAGAAAAAGAACATATAAAAGATTGAAAAAAGCAGGAGACTCGCTGTGGATTTCTGATCAAAACGGCTCTTTTCTTCCTTTTCTTTCTTCCTCACCATTTTTGGCCGTCTGGGTTTTGCTCAGAATCTTCTCTGCTTCACCCGGTCTGGTCTTTTTTAGGTTTTGTAACATCTCTATAAACATGTCTCAGCAGAGACACAACAAGATCATGGCGAACGAGACAAATACTGCCGGCGACACGACCTTCACGAAGATCTTTGTCGGAGGCTTGGCTTGGGAGACTAAAAGAGACGCCGTCAGAGGTTACTTCGAGCAGTTCGGAGAGATCGTTGAAGCTGTTGTCATCCATGATAAGAACACCGGAAGATCAAAAGGATACGGCTTTGTGAGTTTAACTTAGTATAATCACCACATCACCCACCTTCTCTCCAACGTTCTACCTCTCTCTCTCTATATATATGTAAATAAATGTGTATATAAAGATTTTGATCGTGGTGATTTTAACTTTTATCCAGGTGACATTTAAGGATGCTGATTCGGCTTTAAGGGCTTGTCAGAATCCTTACCCGGTGATTGATGGGAGAAGAGCTAATTGTAATATTGCATCTCTGGGTGCTCAAAAGAATCGCCCTCAACAGGGTATAATTAAACTTGGTTTCTTCACTTTCAAGTTTTGATTCTCTGGTTATTTTCTTACCAGCCAAACGGCATTGCTGCTGTTAACTTACGAATCTTACAGTGGTAAAATAAGAGCCAAGAGCTTTCTTGGTCCCATTTGCATTTATGATTTTACCTTGCTCTGCTTCTGTACTAATTTCTTACCATTTTAGTTTTTTTGCTAAAACCCTGATCAGGAATGGGGAAATTTGGACCACCTGCAGCCAGATCCATGGCACCATCAACCTTATATTTCCGCCAGCCAACACCTCCATATGCATTACCTTACACGGCTTATGGGTAAAATTTAGAATTATGTTCTGAATTCCTCTGTAATACAAAGTACTTATTTGGTGATTTGAGAGTTAAAAAAAAAAAATGTGATGGTTTCATTTTATTTTTTCGTTTAAATTATGAAATAAATATTTCATTTACCAACTGATCCTAAAATAGCTAATAAATTTTTGCTCATGGATTTTCTAATACGATTTTAGGTATCCTGGTTACCCACAAGACATGTATGCAATGGTCAGTCTCATTTTCTCACTTCTATTCTCTTTGTATAGATTAACCAAAGACCTAAAATTTTTGGACTAACCCATATATGTTCATGATTTATAATGAATTACCCATTTCAGAAGAATAGGAATTATGAAAAGGGTTGATTTGAAACCACTGTTTTTGTTGCAGGACCATTACAATATATATGGAGGGCAACAGCTCGGAACCTATCCCAGAACTGGCTCTCCTGGGTTCTACTTGAATTACTACTATCCTTTATATGCACAGACACAGGCTACTTCTGGACCAACCATGCACCCCAGAATGATTCAGTACCCTTATTTTTCTAGAGCTTTAGGACTCATGCCTCTCCCTCCTACACCTACTCAGTCACTCGCAACCATTGGTAATCTTTCACAATTTTCAGTACTTGCTTGTGTAAATTCATGGTATAATGTGATATTTTCGTGGCATAATGTTGACCCACCACAATGAACATCGATTCACGCAGCAGGAGCATCAGCTGGAGAGGTATTGGGAGGAGGAAGCAGAGGAGAGCCAGCAGTGACAACTGATCAGAAGAGCTCACAGACTTGAGCAAAACCTAATCAGAATCAGAATTATACACATGTATGCCCAGTTAACTACATGAAAAAATGAGGTTCTTACGAACAGCAGCAGCACATGTAAAGGATTACCACACACATTGCTACCGGGTACAGAGGATGGAAAGGAACAGAAGAGAGTAGAACGACTGTGTATTGGTAGGTAAGTATGATGACCCAGACAGAATAATTAGAACGTTGGATGAAGAGAATAAAAAAAAAAGAACACATTATAATTCCATTGTAATCTAGCAAAAACATGTTTCTGTTTCTCTTTTCCTTTGTTTAAGATCACATTCTTTCTAGACAAAAATTTTATTATTTGAAAATAAAAGTTCATAAAATCATTCAATCTCAAACAAAAAATTTGCAGAAAGGGTTTGGATTAACAACTTAAATTTAGATTGCGTTTTTTTTTTTTTTGCAAAATATAATTCAACTCGAGTCTACTTTTATACAAATAAAATATTAACCATTTTAAATAACGAGTGATCGATAATTTTGTCTAATCTAACCGTGTCCGCTTACATTTGCGACATTTTTATTGTTTTTATTAACAATTATTACTGTTATAATCAAGCATGCAGATGTACTTTTTACTTTACCCTTCCCATCACTGCTCCTTTTACCAAATTAATCCATACAAAAACGAAGAATCCATTAATGCAAACACCCACACCTCTGTGCAAAAATATATAGAAATTTGTTATTGCCATAAGTAACCCTATGTATGAAAATAGCAGTGTCACATCGATTCAACAGATTCACACAATAATTTTATAATCAGCATCCCTCAATTCATCTCAGATGCATTTACAGCATGTAAATAGGAAGAATCTTCAAGCAATCCCCTCTGAATAATAAGCCAAAAACAAGTAACTGATGTGCAAGAAACAGAGCGCTTAACAAGTTGAAATGAAAAACAAAAATGCAGTGCTATTAGATTATAATGGGACCTCATCTAAGCTAAAAGGTTGAGTAAAACAGATACCAAACTTGATTTAGTTTATCATATATGTATAATAATCCATTCAACTATTCAATTTATTCCCTTCTTTCATTTATACATCTGTTTTAAGCACGAAACCCAGAAATAGGAGAAGTTGAAAGGAAAGCGATACCAATTCTTCCCTAAACAGAGTTAAACAAAAGCATATTCGGATCCCGACAAAGATCATTCTCAAACGTCCTCAGAGTAATCACACACTCGGGAAATTAAAGAATTAAAAAAAGGACAGAAAAAGGGGAAAAAAAAACGTTTCATAGTTTTAAAAGACAAGCAATAGATATTAGAAAGCTAAGTTCCAAGGCCTCAGGCATAAAAGAACATCATTTGTTTCCAAAACAAAATACATTCAACTACTCTAGAATCTCTTCAAGCTCACAGGCATCACACAACATCGTAGCCTTGCAATAAAATACAGCTAACTGTTCTCAAAGGCAATGGTTCCAGGATAGTCAAATTCAGCACATTCAACAAGTCAATATAGGAACCCGGAAAAACTTGTCCGCAGAATCGCAACTAAGAAGGCTGAAGAAATGTTTTGATTGATTAGTCACTGCCTGATTGCACCTGAAAAGAGAAAAAATATAAACAAGATCATTACAATCTTACAACAGAAATTTTAAAAATTTGAATGCATATATTAGTGCAGCCAACATCCCCTTATAGGTTTGCTTCTAGAATTTTTTGGAAATTCATATGATGGCTTGGGTGAGAAGCATATTCCCAATCTCTCTCAGATCTTATTCTTATAAGACCTACCAATTAAATCACAGTAAACATTTCCCCTATATATTCAGATCTTAAAACTTAATTTACCTTGTGAGGAGAACCAGACCTGGATCTAGATCTTGCCCTGTACAGAACAAAGAGATTCTTCCACGGGTAAGAAAGTTGAGAAAAGGAAAAGCACAACGAAAAACCTAAGAGGGGATAAAAACCCCAGTCACCTTGAAGATTTAACAGGAGATGCAGATTTAGATTTTGACACTGATCTAGAAACTGATCGTTCCAATGATTTACTATAAAAAGAACAAAGTTTCACGTTAAATAAGGCAACCTAGCCAAACTTCATATATAAAGAAGAGAAAAAGGTCTATACTTCCGGCTCTTCCTAGGGCTTCTGCTTCTGCTCCTGCTCCTGCTCCTGCTCCGGCTCCGGCTCCGGCTTCTGCTTCTGCTCCTTGACGGACTCCCTTCATATTTCTTCACCTACACCAGTTGGATTTACAAACTAAAGTCATTAACTTATCAAAACAAAAATTATCAACCATCATTTTTCTCTTACTTATATAGTCCAGCGCTTTCAAATAAAAAGCCACCAAAAGTCACAAGACTGTTAAAAGGAACTGGATAAAGTAAATGTAAACCAGATGGTATACTCCCATTCCATATTAACAGGATCAAAAACTTAGAATCAAATATCAATTACTTAGCAAACAATAACACTACAAACAGATTACGGACTAAAGGTTTCAATAAAAATGAATTATGGATAGCAAACGGCCTTGCCTCAACCATGGATAGTACTGATTTAGCAACTAATATACATTTCTTTACTCTTTCTCTTCATTTTCACTTCAGTAGCTGCCATGCCATCAACTCAACTTCCGATTTTGGATCTAATTCCCTTCTTCTTTTACTCTTCTCCCTTTGCCATATTGGCATGGGCAGTCCCTAATCATAACTCTGTTGGCTTTACATAAATCCTTAATCTCCTCCAAAAAGAGACATTCACTTCCATTGAAAAGATTGCTAGTATATTTATGCCATCCTTGAATTGCTTTGTCAATCATTTTTTATGCATAATTAGTTAAAAAAGAGCAACTTCCACTGGCTTCTCTTTCGTTAGGTAAAATCAGACCTTCAAATTACAATTATGGGGCAGGGGCTAATATAGGATCGAATCAAGGGGTTTCACTCTAAATTCTGAACCCGTTTTGTTACCATTTCCCAGATGAAAGAATGAATAAGCAAATAAGTAGAAAAATTACCCTAATATATGCTTTTGCCCAAGGATTT